GCGGTCGACTACGTGGGAGTCCAGCGACATAGCCATTACGCTAACTGCTGGTTCCCCAAAACTGTTTTTCTTGAAATTAAAAAATGCATTTAAAAATGCCTACCAATACCTATTTAATGACTGCAGTAAGCTATATAGCCCCAGCTAGGTGCTACTTTATAGTATGTTCATTCTACTCTCTGAGGTTTATGCCTAAAGTCAGACATGTGTTCATAGATCTGTAATATATTAGCTGTGCTTGCTATTGAAAGTTTTAAAATTAATAACATCTTTAGTGAATCAATAAAACGTGAAAAAAAAGCCATGGAAAACAACTGCAGATATCAGAGACAATGTGGGAGAAGGGGGCGGGGGGATGCATAAGCAAAATATATAAGAATCAAGAAACAGAAAATTATTTGTTGATGATAAAATGTATGGTAATATCCTTGATTAAGCCAATATACAATGTATTCTGAATGGAAAATCTCATTTTGTATACTGTATTACTGTATAATGAATGACTGTAAATAGATAAATTTTTAAAAAGATCAACCCTCTTACTCTTTTTTAGCAACCAGATTGCCAAGGCTGACTTTTAATTCCCTTGTTTGCCACCTATACCACTTAAGAGGCACCTTCTAGAAATTAATTCTACATTCTTTTCCCCCCAGTATCATCTCACATGGGTCTAAAAATGAGGTGTAGAATGCCAATCTGGAATGAGAAATGTATTTGCATTGAAGTGCTCTGTTGGGTGAGTGGGCTCAAGTGATGCCCGCTCATGAAGACCCTGGCAACAGCGACCTTCCGCTGTGCTTGTCTCAAGCTTCCGCACACCCTCAGTAGAAAACACCTGGAAGCAGGCTGTATCCAGCTCATCTCACGGGAGAAATGGAAATCACACCGAATGTGATTTACAGGCAGCTTTCATGAGTAACAAAAACCTGTCAAAGCTTTGTTAGAACCATGTCCATCTCAGAGTCCACGAGTACTTAAAAACCCACCCCTTCATCTATTGTACAGAATTTCTTTGCAATTCCAGTTTCCTACCACCCATACATTTATTAAAGCTAGTACAGGAGGGCTGTCAGCAGTGACTCATGAGCCCTGACAGGAGAAATCAGTTTTCAAAGCACCTGACAGGCGTATTCTACGAGAAGGCAAGTCAGACGTCCACACTGCAGGATGAAGTTGGCATCAAACACCAGCAACGTTGCCATGCTGGCTCTGTCATGGTAAATAAGAGCTCTGTGAGCCTGGACAAGTCTCTTCTCCTTTCTAGGTCTTGGCTTCTTCATCTATAAAAGCAAACCACTGATTCCTAAGGTTTCTCGCCACTGCAGCACTGTATGATTCTCAAACATACTCGGCCTGATCTAAGAAATCTCACTCTCAGGTGAGATTTATTCTCGTGTTTATTTCTGCCCCAAACTGTGATGCTCCTCTTTTGACCAGAGGAATGCAGATAGGAAGAGTCTTGCTGGGTAAGAATTCAGAACTAAACCCAGCAGCCTGGAAGGCACTTCCCAACTGAGCCAAACCTCCACTGGAGGACTCTACAGAGGGACCGTGGGTGGTTCCCCTCTACAGACTGAACTGCTGAGTCATCCTGCTAGCCTTCACCCCAGGCACTGTCCAATCTCAGCAGCTCACCAGACCAAGGAACCCCAAGCAAATGGGTACTCAAATCTGGAAAATGTTTGAATATACTATACCTATTGAAAATGTGAGGCCTTTTCCTGCAAACTCTTTCCGCAGCTCCGCTACAAATTTCTGTCTTATGTTTTCTTTCTGAGAAAAACAAAAAAGATACCAATTGTCTACCACACTGCAGTTTGAAGAGCATTGTTTAAGAGCCAGGTATGGTGCTGTGTGTCTGCAGTTCCAGCTACTCAGGAGGCAGGAGGATAGCAACACAGTGAGACTGTTTAAAATACTACACACACACACACACATACACACACACACACACACACACACACACACAGTACCAAACAAAAACAAAACAAAAAAGAAAAGAAAAGCACACTTTAACCTCTGGCTACATGTCTTATCTCACTTGCACAAACCCAGCCATTCACCAAGGATGTTTTAGAAAGACTATGTGGTTTAAATCCTAGAACTGGGTCCATGTGTGTGCATGCCCCAAATCCCAAACAGAGGGAGAGATGGAGTAGGGACCGTGGTGACCATGCACCGTAGGAGTGCGTTCTTGCCCTCTCTCTCTTTCTCTCTCTCTGGGCGTTGTCGCTCTCCCTCCAGTGCATATGCCCTCTGGCAAGTTAGAAAAGGAAAGAAAAAAACTCACTTTATCCAGCTCATAGAACTCAATGCGCTCTTCTTGACTGCAGCTTCTTCCGATTGGGGACACGTTTAACATCCCATTTCGGAATTCGATGAATGTGCCCCTAGGGAGGGAAGGTGAGGAGGCTGTTTATCTGGGCACCCTCACAGGCAGATGTAAGCAGGGAAAAGCAGAGGCTGATGTGCTAACACTTCCCAGGGCTGTGCTATGCAAAAGGACAGCAATCATCCACGGTGTTTTATATTAACAAGTCGTTAAATGGCTATACTCTAGATATACCGGCTTAAATGATATTATTAAAACCGATTTGTTGGGGCTGGCAGGTGACGTGGTGGTTAAGGGCGGTGGACTCCTACATGGCCGATCACAGTTTGAGTCCTGGACCTGGCAGCTTGCTTTCTCACTTTCCCTTTCTCTCTCTCTCACTCTGTTCTTCTCGGACCAAATTAAAAATAAATAAATATATAATGTTAAATAAAATAAAAGAATTCTTTTAAGGAAAAACAAACACTGATTTGTTAAGGTGCAGGAACTGGATCACATATGACAGACTGCAGTTCAAGTCCCAGAACCCTGCTAGGCATGTGTGCATACGTGCCCCAAATCCCACGAGAATGGAGGACAGGGGATGCAGTGTGGTCACACTTCCTCTCCCTCTCTCTCTCTGGCGAGCACATGCACACTACAGCAAAAACTAAAAACAAAACCCACGTTCCCTTGCTTTGTCTGTGTGGCTGCAGTTGGATCTTGTGTATGCAGCTGACGCGACAATTCTGCTGGTCCTGCTGCGACTGGGCAGAGAATTCTGTAGTTAATAAAGAGCCATAAAGATGACCACAAGCGCTGCAAGTGTGGTCGGTTTCCCCAGGGAATTTGGAAACGCACGTCCCTGACACCTACTTTGCTAGTGTGCTCTGGAACAGGCTGATTTCACCAGGAAAGCTACACAGAAGGCTCTGGAAATCACCCAGCGAGCCTCTGTGATGGCTGAGGACCTCAATTTACTCAGTGCAGACTGCTCTGTAACGTCTGATTTGATCACAGCAGGCGGCACCAACCTAACACTGCTGTAGTTACTCCACAAGAGAATGTTTAAAAAGATCTTCCCCCACCGCATTTCCAGTTTAAGTCTCAACAATTCTTAAAAACTTGGGTAACTTCTAAGCTAGATAATTATTCTGACAAGAGTAATTTAAGTGTTTGGAGACAAACTACGCACTCTGAAGTGGAAAATGCCCGTGAGGCTTTGAAATGTCTTCCCTGACCTCTTTCTGCTACTTTCATCATGCGGCCCTGGTCTCTGGCCACCAGCACTGTGAACAGTGAGAGGCTGCAGGCCAATGCAGAACTGGAGAGCCGATTCTGGCCCACGCAGCCTCTCCTCTAACAAGGCTGTGTGACTCTGGCACCTCTCCGAGTCTCCAGTTAGTCACCTACAGAAAGGGGTTAATGGCCTTGCTCCAGTTACCTCCAAAAGACCCTGAGAAAGTCAGATGTACCAGCTAATGAGGGCACGCTAAACTGGGGGGGCAATGAACACTCACCAAGATAGCGAAAACAGCAAGGGATCGATCAGTTGGGCTCCACGAGCAGAGGAGGCAAATGACACGACAGAAGATGCACACCTGAGAGACTTTTTTGAAGCCCACATCTAGGTTTCCCTGGAGCTGGGAGACCAGCCCCATCCTCTAAGCCTTCTACGTGTACACCGAGGGACCAGTGAGCATCCCCAGAATGATCCTGGGGCTAAATTCACCAGGGAAATAGCTCAACTATTTCCCCCCAACTCAGGGACATATCAGTCATTCCCAAGGTTCAGAGGGAAGCTGGTTGCATTCTAGAAAGCCTCCAAGAAAGCAAGGATTCAGATGGCTGGTTTACCCAGCACTCAAGTCCTCCCTGAAGTTCGACTGCCTATTCTGTGGAAGGATGGCTCTGCATACCCATGTCCCTCCAAGGATGATGAACGTGTCGATAGGATTATGCTTGGTCCTATTCTTCTTCCTCCCTTAGGTGCTCACCAGGCATTTGTGCCCAAAGTAAAAACCTGGGAGATATCAGGGGTATTCAAAAAGTTCATGAAATAATTCTGCAGGAATTTCTTTTTTCTTTTTGCACCAAAATAAAGTTGTATTTTGATTCTATTTTACCGTTAACTTTTTGAGGTCCTCTCATATCCACAGTTCCACTTTTTACTACAGAGAACATCTAACATAAACAGAGGTAAACAGGATAGGGTGGGGAGCACTGGTGTGCACACTGCCCAGCAGCAATGACGATCAGCCAGGGTTCAGCCGGCCTCACATGCCCCTCCTGGGGTGAGGGCAGTACCTGCTCTCTGGCTGAGGGGCTGAGCAGGACATGCTGTCTGCATGAGTCCTAACAGCTTGAAGCAGCCTCTGGAGCACTGCCTGCCTTGGCATCCTACTGCCACTTAACAGAGGTTTCTTCCTGGTGATTAAAGTGTACATGCTGGGAAGAAGATGAGAAGTACTTCAAAGAGATCACCTGTAACCTCACCACCGAGTGAACGGCCGTCTTAGCACCTGAGCCCGTCTCCTGCCCATTTTTTTTTTTTCTTGTGGGCATTTGTGTACATCAGTGTCACTTTCTGTTTTTTTTTTCTTTTCTTTAGGTTGATGCCATAGAGCACAGGTGCTCACCAGAGAGAGAAAGTGAGAATCAACTCCCGGGGGGATGGCCACCCTGCAACCCCTTCTCCATTCTCTTGGGATTTGGGCACACACACATGCACACGTACCCAGCATGATTAAGCTGCTGGGTCTGGGACTTGAATCAGGGTTGTCCGTGTGGGAGTCCCAGTGCCTTAACCACCAAGCCACCTGCTGGCTCCTCGCATTATTATTTTTCAAAAGGGAATTGAGATGGTAATTACCTAGGGCAGCTGGCAAGTCCTACAGAGGTCAGAAAATGAGTGCTGGCTTGTGGAAAAGTGCCTCCAGGGGGCGAGCTGGCATGCTGCTGCTGCTCAGCCCTTGGCTGCCATGTGGACAAGGGGCCTCAGAGCAGCCAGGTGCTTCGGTGTGAATGTGCTCCCATCAGTGCGTGTGCTGAGACTGGGTGAGCCACTGACAGTGCTGGGAGGGTGGAGACTTAATCCGCTTCTGGTACTGAAAGGTGGGGCCTCTGGGGGGACTGGATGAGGCCGTGGGGTGGGGCCCCAGCCTGACTGCTGGTCACTCCTGAAGAACACACAGAAGAGCACACGTCTGCCCTTGCTCCAGGTGCTGTCCCACACTGCCCTGGACTGCCCCAGGACTCTGCAGGGACACCCCACTAACAAAGTCTTCACCAGATGCAGCTCCCGACTTGGACCATCAAAACTCTACACAATCCTCTATGAATCACACAGACGCAGGAATTTCTGTTACTATGAACAGGGTAGGAATTAAAAGACCAAGTCTTCAGGCTTGCCAGCAGAAGCCAGAAATACAGATGTCTTAAAAAGTGAAATTAGACTTTTAAATGATAGCAATTAATTCAAATTTTAGTTAACACTAAAGGCCAACAGGATTTGGCACTGCATGGGATCTGGCCTGGAGGCCTTCAGGCTGATTCTGACAGGTCTGGGATTGATGCTATTTTTTTTAAAATGTCGTTTCACAGATATTTTCTCTCCCTGCCAGCCTCTGAAAGCACACGGTTTTCAATGGCCATATTCATTTCCATCATGGATGTGCTGTCAGTCAGCTGAGTAACCGTTCTTATACTGCAGGCTTTACTGACTGCCTTTCGTGACTCCTGACTAAGCACTGCGCTTTGGATTTAAATCAGCACGAACCCACCAAACGACACTACTCCATGCTGCAGCTCTTCGCTAAAAGCAACCCACCTCTTCTTTGGGAGTTTAATTTTCGCAATGTAGTTCAGACAGTAGTTGATTAAATCTTGAATTAGGGCTTCCCCCAGGTGACCTTGAATATTCTGGATAAAGAAAATACTGGAGTTACTTGATTC